TGTCTCTCTCACTTTCATATAATCGATACACATCTGCTCTCGCTTTGTTTCGACAAATGGTCTTGACATCAGCATTCATATACTTCCATGTGTCTCTCACTTTTTCATACTCCATGTACGAGTAAGGTAGATCATGATGTACTATTGTCTTAGCTACTATCTGCCTAAACACATCATGATCATACTTGTGAGGAACAACTTTGGCCCCGGGGTTGAGTTGTTTTTGACCTCCTCGATTCCATGGATGCATTTTACATCTATTATGATGCCTTCTCAGCCCACTGGTTCCATGCGAATGGGAATGCCATGCATAATCATTCCTGAAATGATTGCATGCAGCTTTCAACTTTCCACTGGCGTTATGTACCACCTTAAAATCGGTCCACACATCTGATCTTTGCCTCTCTTCCCTTTCCTCGTCACCGATTTCATCATCATCATCCTCTTCTTCATCGTCGAGTTCATCATCAAAGTCTGGTATGTCCTCTACGACCTTCTCCTTCTTTTTTTGCGACTTAGTTGGAAGGGATATAAACTAGTATGCAAGAGATATGGATCAATCTACTTATCACCAATTGGTTTTAGCACATCCAACTTAATATGTTATCAGAGCCTTCGATCAACAAAGTCCAACCCAATCCTCATCGTTCTAGCCCAAAAATTGTGAGAATAGACAGATTATGGTGTGTGAGTGGTGTTTACAATAGAGAGTGGTCAAATTTGAAGAGAAAGGAATAAAAAGAATAAATGAGAATCAAAGAGATTGCAAGAGAGTATTGGAGTATAAAAGAGATTTGAGAAATTCCTTGAGAGGTTTAGTAACCAGAAAATATAAAAGATTAAGAGAAAATAGAACCGAGTATATTGAAGTGAGAGAACTCCTCTCCTTGATTTACAATCTAATACAACAATATCTTAAATAGACAAATACACACATAACCTACTACTAAAATAGGGTTTTACTAAACAAATACTATTGTGGCGTATCTGATGAGGATAAGGCCAAGACTGGCTCAACTAAAGAGAGTGAGAGTGACATGAGCAAGAGGCACAGTTTTCTTAGGTTGAAAATGACAGGTCAGTTGCTTCTTCTAAGCAACCATGTGAGTTCTTATCTAATTCAAACCAGAACTGAGTACTTCCATCCAAACTTGATTCCCTTTACTCATGGAAGCTCCCAACGTCCATACTGAGTCTCCTCAACTTCTTTCTTGTCTTATTTTTCTTTCCAGACTTCACTACATTTTATTGCACTTCACTGCACTTCGCTGCAATTCATTGTACTTCACTGCACTTCACTCTGTATTTCACTGTATTTCACTCTATTTCACTGCACTTTGCTTTATTACTAGTGATCTTGTTTATTTCTTCTTCTCAACACTCCCCCTCAAGCTTGACCATAGGATATCCTTGGATAATCTTGGAACCTTGAAGAATCTACCTCATTAAAAACCTTAGTCAGAAAACTCTCCTTAGGGAGAAAACCAGCAGAGGAAAATAGTAGAGTTCAAGAAGGCTTGGGGATTGGCCAGTGAGCCTAAGGAACTTCAGATGTATCATGGTGGAGTCCTTAGGCTCTGGATCATGGCCTACCAAGTTGTGCAAGCATGAAATCCATTACTTGCACACACCCACCTCTCGGAACTCTTCTTTAGGCTGGTTGTGTCTCCCCCTCTCTTCTGCTTACTAGCCATCTTGAAAGGACTTAGGGACCACCAGCTTGTTCTTCAGAGAGATCCAAGTACCTATGAATTGGTTACTCCCCTTGCATTTGGCTGAAATAAGAATGATAGGAAGTGAACTCCACTTTAATTCCCACATGATAAGACTTCTCTCAGATCATAAGAGGCTCATTAACACTCTCCATGAAGCTTTTAACGAGGATTTAAGCTCAAGGTTGCAATGAGTTCACGATGACTTTTTTGATCCAGCTGGTGAGGAATGATGCAAAAGTGAACTCCACTTCTTGCCAAGAGACAATTGACGACTTGGATCCCCAGGATTGCACACTAATACCTCTCCTCAATCTTGATCAGAAGAGAATAGGTGAAGGACCAAGCTTGGAAGTCGCAGACTGAGCTTGAACCAGGAGCACAATAGTTCCAACACATGCGCTTAAGCCAACTGTTCCATCTTTAACCTCTGCTCCATTGCCTTTAGACCACCGGTCTCCTCATGACTTGGTGATGGTCTTCCTTGTGTGTCTCATGAGCCAGGAGCTCAACACCCAAACATGCTGCGCTTAATTCAACCGCTTCTACACGCAAGCTATCTCTCCATGGTCAGGAATATACATCATGTGTAGGCTCTGAACTCATGGGCTATAGCCTTCTTCTTGTCTCAGATTGATGGTGACCAGATAGAACATCTTGTGTACCTGAAACACAACTCAAACTCCAGCAAGAATCAGACCTCACACACTAGGATCAGGCCTTGGTAACTCACCAATCCTGATCCCAATGTGTTAATAAAATGCAGTGGACAGAATCTAAACAACTCATTCAGTTCAAATCCATGCAAAAAATTCTCTAAATTCTCAAGAATGATAACTCATCAATTACAAGACATTTAAGCTATTTTTATGATCATTTAAATAACAAAAAAATTTTAATGACACAATAGAGACTAGAAAACTCATCTAATCAATCTAAACAATTTATAGATGCAATGTAAGACCAGGAAACTCTCCTAGACTCTAAGCAAGACATAAAACACATAACTAGTACTAAGCAACTCATTTAGACCAGATACAACACAAATAATTAATCTAGGACAGGAACTAGACATAACCATGCTAGCAAACTTCTAGAACAGAACACACAGAACTCTTAAGTATCATGGGACAAAAACTAGGTTCAATAACTCTAGCAACTTTAAACTGTCCCTAGGATACCAAACACACCACTAAACACAACCAGACATAATAACACAAGCTTTATTAAGGGTTAGGAGGTTAACTTACAACTAAGGAACCTGAGCTTGTTCCTTGAACCTCCAAGGCACAGAGTCACTTGAACTTGACAGATTTGGAGTTTGGGTTCTCTACCCAAGTCCATTTCCTTGTGTGTGCTTTCCCTTTGAACCTCTCATTCTTAAGACCCCTCCTTTCTTCCTGTTTACAAGGCGCCACCATCTGGAACATAGTGAGAGGCTCCATCTTGAAAAGAACATCAGAATCACTTGTGTAGATTTGGTTTGGAGTTTTGCTTGCCAAACATCTCCAAAACCTTCTTTCTTCAAGAGATCTCTTCATACTGAGCAGGAGGAAGGATGATAGACCTTTGGAAGCCTCTGGACAGGCCATGGTTACAGTCCTCATCCTCTTGAAGAGACTGAACAGCCAACTAGACAGAAACTTCTCCCATGGTTTTGAAACAGCCATAAGGGTGAGCTTGTGCTTTATTTGCGGAAGCTTTGTGTTTCAGGAAATTGGGAGCTCTGATACCATGTGATAATATACAGATTATGTTGTGTGAGTGGTTTTTACAATAGAGAGTGGTCAGATTTGAAGAGAAAAGAATAAAGAGAGTAAGTGAGAATCAAAGAGACTGCAATGGAGAGTATTGGAGAATAAGAGAGATCTGGGAGATTGCTTGAGAGATTTAGTAACCAGAGAGTATAAAGATTAAGAGAAAATAGAACTGAGCATATTGAAGTGAGAGAACTTCTCTCCTTGGTTTACAATCTAATACGAAAATATCTTAATAAGACAAATACACACATTAACCTACTACTAAAATACGGTTTTACTAAACAAATACTATTGTGGGGTATCTGATGAGGACATGGAGGATAAGGCCAAGGCTGGCTCAACTAGAGAGAGTCAGAGTGACATGAGCAAGAGGCACAATCTTCTTAGGTTGAAAATGACAGGTCAGTTGCTTCTCCTAAGGAACCATGTGAGTTCTTCTTGTCTAATTCAAACCATAAGTGAGTATTTCCATGCAAACTTGATTCCCTTTACTTGTGGAGGCTCCCAACGTCCATATTGAGTCTCCTCAACTTCTTTCTTGGCTAATTTTTTTTTCCAGACTTCACTACATTTTATTGCACTTCATTGTACTTTACTGCATTTCTCTGCATTTTGCTTTATTACTATTGATCTTTTTTATTTCTTCATCTCAACAAAAATGGCCCATCGATCTTTACCCGAACATTTCGAGATTGATGATTAAAGAACCATCATCTCAAAGAGGCTTATTAGATACAAAATGTCTCATATCAGTAGTTGGAAAGGAATATTAACTAGTGTATAAGATAAATGTACTAATCCACTTATCACCAAGTGACTTTTTCGTTAGAAGTCCCTCTAGCTTAATATAGTCTCCATCGTGAAAACCCAAAACTCATAATGTCGAAACTATATATTAAGAAAGTCATATGGGAATTGCGTCGGTGAGAGTCATAGGCAAGATTCACATCGGAAGTTGGAAAAGGATATTAACTAATATATAAAATAGATTGATCAGTCCACTTATCACCAATTGATTTTAGGTTGAAGTTCATCTAGTTTAATATAGTCTCCATCGTGAAAACCTAAAACTCATAGTGTCGAGACTATATTAAGCTGGTCAAATGGTAATTGCGTCGGTGAGAGTCATAGGCAAGATCCACATCAGAAATTGGAAAGGGATATTAATTAGTTTATAAGATAGATGGACTAATATATTTATCACCAATTGATTTTATGTTGAAAATCCATCTACCTTAATATAGTCCCTATCGTGAAAACCTGAAATTCATAATGTCCAAACTATATTAAGCAAGTCAAATGGGAGTTGCGTCGGTGAGAGTAATAGGCAAGATCCACATCTTAAGAAATTATATAGTCACTATTTTAATATCAAACTGCACTTATCGAACTGCACTTATTTCCATGCACGCCAGCCATTATTCACGTGTTCCAATTCGTATTTAAATATATTAGTTCTAACATGTCTGCGTCTCAACACATCTATATATACACGTTAGACAAAACGACGAGAGCATACCGAAACCAACAAACACATAACTGAAATATGGACCTCAAACCCAATTTCAGGCCAAGCTTCTTCTTCTCCTTTCTGATTTTCTTCTTTTTTCTCCAAAAACCCGACTTGGGATCAGCATCTAATCCGAAATGTATATCCACAGAGCGCCAAGCTCTTCTCACCTTCAAGCAATCGCTTACTGATCCTTCTGGTCTACTCTCTTCTTGGTCTGGACTTGACTGCTGCAAATGGCGCGGTGTTCGCTGCGACCGCAGAACCAGCCACGTCATCAAGATTGATCTCAGAAACCCGAACCAAACCCTTAGACCGTATGACTATTACGGTGAGTTTAAAAAGGGTGGATTGGGAGGCAAGATAGATCCTTCTTTGACTCGTCTCAAGTACTTGAGCTATCTGGACTTGAGTTCAAATGATTTCAACTTCCTGGCGATTCCCGAGTTCATCGGCCGCATCGTTAGTCTAAGGTACCTAAATCTTTCTTTCACATCGCTTTCCGGTGAAGTTCCTCCGAGTTTTGGAAATTTGTCGAAGCTCGAGTCTCTTGATCTGTACGCTCAGACGTTTAGTGACGATGGTCTAACTGCGTATACTTTGCACGCAAGCAACCTTGGGTGGCTTTCGGGTCTGTCTTCCTCACTGACTTACCTCAACTTGGGATTTGTGAATCTGAGCGGTGCCAGTGATACCTGGGTAGAGGATTTCAGTAGGCTCTCGAAGCTGAAGGAGTTACATTTGTACAACTCTGAGCTCAATAAACTACATCTCTCTTTCTCTTTGTCTTCATCTGCGAATTTGAAGCTCCTTGAAGTTCTTGACTTGTCTCGAAACTCTTTCAATTCGCCGATACCCAACTGGCTATTTGATCTCACCAACCTTAGGAAGCTATATATCCAACAGGTTCTTCTCTACAGCTCGATTCCTTCCGGATTCAAGAAGCTGAAGCTTCTAGAGACACTAGATCTGTCGGACAATACACTCGGACTAGAAATTCCAGCGGTTCTTGGATATCTTCCTCGATTGAAGTATCTTGACCTTTCTGTAAACTCTTTCCGAAGTCAAATCCACAGTTTTCTTGACGCCTTGTCCAAAAACAAAGAAAATAGCTTGGTCTCTCTCGATCTTAGTTCCAACAGTATGTATGGGACATTGCCTGAGTCGCTTGGAGCGTTGAGGAATCTGCAGATTCTTGATCTTTCAGACAATTCCTTCACGGGTCCGATCCCTTCCTCAGTCGGAAACATGGCGTCACTGAAGGAACTTGTTCTATACACAAACATGTTTTCTGGTGCCATTCCTCAGAGCTTGGGAGATATATCTACACTGAATAAACTTATTCTTTCGTTCAATAAACTGGAGGGGAGAATACCTAAGCGGCTGAAGTTTAAAGATCCGTCCATTTACGCTGGAAATGATCTACTCTGTGGGAAACCACTTCCTAAAAAGTGTCCAAGGAAGCAGTAGAATGTTATAGTTAATTAATTTCCTAAGAAAATGTACCTGTTTACTTTCCAAATATTAATAATAAAGTGATCAGCTCAACGCTGACGATGTTGTACCACTTAGGCCTGCGACATTTAACCGAAACCGAATATCCGAACCGGATCCGACCCGGAATGGACCGGTTCGGTTCGGTTTCGGTCATGCCATAATTAACCGATGGGTATTAGTGTTGATTATCCACGGGTATAGGTTCGGTTTCGGTTTTTACCCGGAATCGGTCGGGTACCCGTTTAAACCGAATTCTACACTTAAAAATGTAGAAATGTGGCCTAGGAGCGTCGAACCCTGGTTGGATAGACAAATTATCAGGAGCAATACCACTAGACTAGCTCAACTTCGTTGTACATTAATACATTTCACTAGTATATATACGATTTCAATTTATTTTTTATTTTGATCTTTAAAAGTAAAAATAAAATAAATTAAAAATAAAACAAAATTTAATATTTCGGATTTAAAATTAAATAACCGAATCGACCCAGAACCGGGGTAGAACCGATCCGAATCCGAACCGAAGTTTACTAAATATTATTTGGGTATAGTTTTCTTATAACCGATTTACCCGGAACCGAACGGATCTTATCCGGAACCGACCCGAGTACCCAAAGTCCCAGCCCTAGTACCACTTACAGGAGATAGTTTTGCATAACTGAGCCACGACTTCTAAGTTCTACAAAGAGGATTCTTTTCATTGTATTCACCAAGAAACCCTTGTACATAAGCAGGTCCATGGCATCAACCCATAGGACCCCACGTAATCTTTAAAAACATAGACTAGTGAAGCATAGCCTTCATACACCACAATGTCCAGTAACGTGTCTCTCGACTACCCAGAGACAGAAACATTACTTTCAGAAGCATCACTTGCAAAAACCCTTTCACAAAGAGCCAATTCAAAGTTTCTGGGGGTAAACCTAAATAGTTGAGGCTGAACAAGAACAATGTATACATTCAACAAGAGAAAGAGCCATTTACGTTTCTCTGTAAATACTCTGAGCTCTACCAGAGGCAGCTCCAACGAGTTGATTACATAACGGCCTTGGCATCCTACATAATACATTGTAAGGCCTTGAGTTGTTGCTGTATAAGGTAACATTTTCATCTAAAGGATCGGTAATCATCAATCATAATGAACTTAGCAACCTTATCTAAATCAGTTGTAAGCGATCAAAGCACGGCACAGGGAAGATTCATTTGCTCTATCTAATCAAAAAGCACCAAAATCACATCGACAAAGAAAAAACAATATAGTCGAATCCTCTACTGGAGAGAGAGGGTAAGATGGATCACTTCCCCGACTGTGATCACTGATCAACAACTAGTCGAATCAGAACCTCGGGCGTTTCTATGTTTTCAGGAGAAATTATCTCTCTCTCAATGGGATCTGCATCATGCTTTTGCAGGGTTTGGGGTTCGCACTCTAGTCATGTTGCTAATTGGTTCAAATGTTGAAAACAAAGAAAGGAAAAACATCCCGTATTCATCAGCAAATCGTGCCTAGAACTTAAAAAGTATAGAAAACAACAAAGAGTGCAAGTTTTATCTTTTTCTTGAATAAATACAACAAAGAAATCGAATCTTCAATAAATTTCGTAACCCAGTTGGTTAAAGTACCCGTTATTAAGCTGGAGGTCTTGATTAATTCTTATATCTATTATATTAAAAGAGAAGTCACAACTTCTCTTCATGTATGATTTTTTTAAAAACTGGACCGTGGCCTGTAGAAGATGATAAAGCATTAGCAGTATGCTGTAGAAGATGTATACTGCAGAAGCTGTATGCTTTCAATCAAATTTTTAATAAAGTGATTGGTAGAGCAGTAGCAGTCTACAATTTTAAAAATTATTATAATAGTTAATATAAATAAATATTTATATTAAAATATATTTATAATATATATTAATAATATATTTGTTATTAAAAATAATGAATCTTATTCATTATATAAATTATATTATAGTTTATATGTAAAATATAATTATCTAAAAATGTAATTTTTTAAAAATATTAAATTATTTTTGGAGATAAAAATATTTAATTTTATTAAATAAATAAATAAATTATATATAATGTATATATAAATTATTATTATTTATTGATAGAGCAGTAAATGATTCATATATAAAATTATCCTAAAAATTAATATATGTTATATAATTTATTTATTAATGTATAATTAATATATATATATATGTTTATATTTATAATATATAAATATATATTATGTATGCTTGTTATTAAAAATAATGAATGATATGTATAATTGTATAAATTATATTATATTTTAAATGTGAAATATTGTTCTTTTAAATAATTTAAAAATATTTTAATTATAATTTATTTTAATTTTTAAAATATAAAATTATTTTTGATTATAAAAATATTTTTTTGTATTATTAAACTACAATAAATTAATTATGTATAATTATTTTTTAAATTTTTATATATTGTAAATGCAAATACTCTACCAAAAGCTCTATTGGAGAGCATTGAGCAAATAGCATTTGGAGAGCATTAGCATTTGGTAAATGCTTTTCCAAATGCTTTTTCGACAAATGTTGATTGGATAATAGAGAGCATAATGCTTATGCTAATGCTCTACCAATTAAGCCCCCTTCCTTAGAAAAGTTGTAACCTTATCTTTTGTATTTGTATAATAAAATCTTAACAATCATATTTAATTTCCATTTTCATTCTCTTAATACATAAGAACATCTTAAAACTAACAATACATTTATATAAACATTTAAATATATGTTATAAAATAAATAACATATGTATATAAAATTGAAAGTAATATCCGCGCGGTTGCGCGGATAAAGATCTAATTTCTATTTATATTTTAATATTTCTGGCATTTCCTTCACTTTCAGAACAATAGATTAAGGCCTCAAATTTTTGATTTAAAAAAAAAAAAACATTTACCCGTTAATCAAATGTTGAGGTCTTATTTGATTCTCATAACGTTTTCGGCTATGGCGTGAGTGGAATGTACTGTGACACATTCTACACTACCTCTGAAACCATGTAGGTAAGGACTCTGGATTATAGTTTTGATACAAAAACTAACTTTTGTTTAAAATAGCATCGTTTAGTATTCTCGTATCTCTAATTCTAACACACTAGCCTAAAAGATTTTATCTTCTTCAATGGCATCCAAAGATCCACATCTTAAGAAAATATATACATTACTTTATTATCAAATCAAGGAGTGGTCGTGTCAGGAAACACCACCACGAATCTTCTAAGAGCACTTTTAATGGTGTTACCAACCATTGGAGTCCTTAGGATTAAATTAATTTATATTTCTTTTTGAAATAGTTAAGGACCCTAATAACAAATGTTGCTCCAATAGAGTTATCCATTATGGAATCCTTAGCTATTATACATATATTTATCAATCACATTCAAAACAAATCAATTTAGGTACATTGCCAGAAAGAAAAGTTGGACTCAAGCATCAAAACTATTTAATTTCTCTGAAAGTATAGGTAAGTATCCATCTATATGAATCTAGAGCAACGCCATCCTTGGCTTAGCTACATAGAGAGTTCTCTGTTTGAGACCTGACTCCTTACCATTTCCATACGGACATTCTACTTCAAGCTAACTAACAGCATACATAGAAAGTATATACCATTACGGGAAATCTCATGCTGAAACAAGAGAAAAACACTAACCTCTAACTTTTCACTTTCAGCTGTAAGACGATCCAATGATTATCTTAGCTCTTTTACTCTAAGATCCACTCTAGAAGCAAAGCATGAATCCAAAAACATAGAGTCAAGAGCCAAAGACTCAAGAACAAGTTTCAACCACAAGCATACATACAAGCTTATAAACTCATTGATGTCACTCAAATATTTAACCCTAAGGAGTAAATTACTCTCTCAAATAAGAGGTTCAATTGTAGTACTTAGGGATCGAATTCACAAGGAGCTAGGGAACCAATTAGATCTAATAGTTATATGATTAAACTAGGCTAATGGGTAATAATGCAGTAAATAAACTAGAAAAACAGTAAACAAGATGAACAAGGTTTTTATTCAGCTTGGCAAGGATTTGTTCGATGGAAGGATGGTTGCTAGATCTAGGGTTTCTATTCAGGTAATCAGGATTATAATGATATAGAGACTAAAGTATGATATTATAGAACTCAATGATTAGAATAACCAGTCATCTATTGATTTCTAGGTTATCTATTACTAGATCCAAGAACTCCAACTCTCGTTGTCAATTCTAGGTAAGCATCGATCGATGCCGAATTAGGCGTATCGATCGACAAGCTTTGCGTCGTATCGATCGATGTCTCCAAAAAAAAATTGATCGATGCGCCTCTAGTAGCTTAACGCGTGGGTTGAATATTCACTAGGTTTTCTAGATAAACTATCGTTATTTCTATCAATCCTAGCTCAGAGAAGATAGATCAGACAATAAATCTATAACCGAGTTTAGGGTAATTACTTCTAAACAAGCAATAAGAACAATCTTCAAAGATGAATATCTTAACTTAGCAATTCTATAGTTGGGGCTAATCCCACATAACCTATCTGAACCCTAAACTTAACAGGGGGATCTATTCAGACATGAAGTTTGTCACAGAAATCATAGATGAATAGATAAGAAATTGCAACAGATATAAAACTAAAACCAATGGAGTTCCAGGAGAACTCTGATAGGAGTTCCTCCTTTCTCTCCTAACAAGAATAATGAATCAAAGAAAGCTTAGATAGCGTGTAGCCGTCAACAATGGCTTAGAAATAACATAAATAGGGTTTCAAGTCGTCAAGGGTATTTTGGTAACTTTGTGGTATCTTCTGGGCTTCAGTCGGTCATGAAATATATTCGGCCCGCATTCTGGCATCCATATTGATCGATATGAAGGCTTTCCCATCGATCGATATACATTCCTCTTCTCGACAGCCTTCTCTCGCGAGGCAGACTGACCACTCTTCAGTAAAACGGGCATAACTTCTGATCTAACTGTTGGATTGACCCTAAACCGGTGGCATTGGAAAGATAACTCAAAGCTCTATCTTGTGTCCAACGATCAGCTA